TCTTTTCTTCGTGCCAGCATTTACGAGACCCTCTGTATACTTGCTGCAATTGCAAGACTCTTGACGGTAAGAACGACGAAGGATCGAGATCGGCGAGACTGAAGATCAATTGCGGTCCAACTGCGCAGACCACCGCGGTTAGAAGTAGAATAGCGCGGCTGGACATCGAAGCGCATCGACTCGCCAATTTACAAGCAACAAAGGCCGGCGCTCGTTGGCGATTCACGGAAGCGCGCAGGAGGCAATCAAGTGCAAAGCATACGTTGAAATCGTAAATGTGGCTCGGTTTATCGGCATTTCGCTGGATCGTACGTGCTGTAAATTCCGGAGCCGGGGCTTGATTAGATTGTCGTCCCGTAGATTTGATAATGGCTGATTACCTATCAATCGAATAAATCAAATCGCTCTCCTCTGGGGCACGAACATTTCACGCAATCGGCCCGCTGCCGAATTCGCGAAAGTCCGCCGATGACCGTTCAGTTTATTCTCTGGCCTTTTGTTCGATTGCACCGCCGTACGTTGTTCTCTCTCGTTGAAGAGAAAATCGTCAGTGCCTTCGTACAATCGTTTTTCCACTTTGCGTCGCCCCCCGGAACAAACTGGCCTTAATTCGTCGACGTTTTACAAAGATAACGTAACGAAAAAGAAAATTTCAATCCGATCGCGCGTCCCACGGAGATAACAAGTTTTCATCCTCCGATCGTTTGAAAGTGTCCGATCGAAACTGTCGGACGAAGGAAAGTTCGGCGGGGAAAAAAGGTTGGCGGGAGGCGAGGAAGCTGCGAGGAAGCTGCGAGGAACATCGCCGTGTCCTTTCAGTGATAATTAATTTTTCGCCATCGGTAGGTCTCCGCGACGAGCTCGTTAAAAAGTTTTGACACATTTAGACCTGAATTCGGCCGTGCAAAAACCATTTAAGCTTCCTACCTCGACGGACCGACGCTGAATGAGCAGCCGATTTCTTCGTCCAATCTTCTTCCTTCGTCCCACAAACAGACCCATCCTTTTCTCTCCTCCTCACCTCCCGCGCTATCCTTTTCCTATGAATTTTTCTCTCATTCTGCGACTCTAATCTTCGCCCGACAGTGGAGCGAGATTTTGTCGAGACTTTGACTTTCTCGGGGAGAGGAGCGGAGAGGAAGCGTAAGCGGTAGGAGCTTAAAACAACGGGAGGAGGAGAGGGGGGGGGGAATAAAAGAAAAATATCTCGAACGCGAGAGAGGAGATACAAAGAGGCAGAGAGAGAAGTCTGAGAGAGAGAGAGTGGAAAAGGCAGTACAGAGCCACTCTGGTTGTTCCGCTCTTGGGCTAGATATCGGCCAGGTCTACGCTCTAGGAAGAAACTCGAATTATTTCATCCTACTCCTTGAAATTTCATCCCCCCAACTAGGATTATATCTCGCGCGATTTCACGAATTCCATGAACAATACTTTTCTTTAGCCGCTGCGCGTTCCCCCGTTCGAGAATCTTTCCTTGGAATCGGGCACAAGTTTCGAGAAACAAGCGTAGGGAACGATCGTAAAGAATCAGGGCAGAGTCAGTCCGCGAGATCGAAGTCATCCCTCAGGTTGAGTAAGGAAAGTTGAAAAATTCTCCGTGAAAAAATAGGAAAAGGCCGAAGAGAGAGAAAAAACAGAAGATCGAACAAGCGACTCGCGCGCGTCGAACGCGCAACTGAAATGAAATATCGGTGACCTGAATTTTGACCCACGAGCCAAATTCAGGAAGATGACGTGTCAAGTGGAAGACGAGGTAACGACCGCGGATAGGAGGAAATGACGCTGCAGGGATTACGAACCACGGCCAGCGGGTAGAGAATTAACGGCACATTTGCCCGGCATTTGCCGCACCGACGATCATGCTTTTAGCTAGTACGATCAAGAATCGAATATCGGTCGGCTGGTTGATCGTATCCCGCTTCGGGAAGGACGGCTTTACGATTCGGTCAATCGTAAAGCCTGATACCCAGAGACCCTATCTAGGTCCCGGCTGCCACAGCAAGACCATTTCCAGGCGCTACACCGCAAGACCCAGCAACACGTTTGACAGAATCTTCCCGTTCGTGAATATTATATATATATATATATATATATATATATATCGCAATACGGCGGTGATTGAATCAATGCGCAAACGGAGAGAAATTCGATTTGATTCGACCGGTCACAAGCGGACGACGGCTTACTTTGTCCCCCAGCTTTCTCTCGTTTGACCAGCTACTACCGTGCCCACGGTCGTTTGAAGAACTCCCAAGACCTTCCTCTTTTATGTATGTACCACGTACGCCTTTATACGCGATTCACTTTACCCTACAATCTGCCACTCCGCTTTACAACCCTCCGATATCTCGGGCCTTGAAATCGCCGCGAGGCTTGAATTATCGAAGGCGTGATTCTTTTTTTTTTCTCTTTTTTTCTCAGTCGGTCTCGGATGGACCGCCACCGTCGTTTGAGAATTGACTCATCCTAGATCACGCAGTGAGATACGGAAACAGTATCGAGACCTTGGAGAATTAAGATCTCCAGTGTGTCACTGCCTGAAATTTGCTCAGGATTTGATTTGATCTACAGCTTCACGAAACACTGACCAGTCTTTCTTCCACGATATTTTGTAATTATTTGTAATTACCATTGCGTGGTATTTCATCGAAAAGTTTATTAATTCGAGCACGTATCACGGGTTACGTAACGACTCGTACTTTTGCACACATTTTCAACTTCGTTTCAAAAATTTTACAGTCAGATCCTATATTACAGTGTCAAAAATGAAATGGAAACATTTCACATTTCGTGCTTCTACATTTCCAAAATGTTCCTCCGGTTCAAATATTCAAATATACTTTTACAATCCAGCGTAAAAAAAGTTCAGCACTTGCTGAGCCAGCGAGATGCAATAAGAGCAAAACTGCATTTCAAAATAATCATTTCAAGACCGACGATTCGGAATTAACTCGCCAAATTTTAAAGCGGTCCTTCCTTTTTTCTTTTCTGCCGCTGTGACGCGGCAAACTATCTGGCGCGGTATTCGAGAGGCAAAATTGCCAATCATTGAATAAATTCCGACGTAAATGAAAACGCCGGAAGTCGTGGACGTCAACGGTATCTGTGACGACATTAGCGCATGGAATCTATCCGACTCCGTAATATACCCGGTAATATCTGTCGAGAGTGCAGCGTAACGCCGCGGCATAAAGAATGATTTTTATGAATTTCGAATTCGTAAACGACACTCACCGAGCTTCGAGTTGCGGCACGCATTGCACGTCCTCTGTACAAAGCTGAAACATCCATGCGCGTTGAGCGGTAGTCGACGGTGAACGCTATTGCTCGTCGGAATCCCTGGAAATAGAATGTAAACTTTACGGTGAGAGCACGCGTGAAACGAAACGCGTGAATAAGAGAGGATGAAAGGGGCAAATAATAGAACGACGTTTTACTCGTTTACTACGTTCGCGACGCTGTATTAGCGGGCGCAGTTTTCAGCGGCACGGTACACGCTGGTACGCAAGCCTCCACTTAACGATATTAGACCGCCTTAATTCACGTAGAAACGCGTAGAAATTTCTCCGTATTCAGCAACTGAAACACGGAGCTCGTACCGCGGACCAAGACACTGCATTCGTGTGTTTTGACAAACAAACCGACCGGATGATCGCCGCCACTTTCTTTCTTTCTTTCTTTCTTTCTTTCTTTCTTTCACGCGTCCACGTACTCTTGACACAAGAACCCCTTTTATCCTCAGTTTCCTTCCTCGCTGCTCGCGAGGATCGTGTTCTATGAACTAGTCTGTACGTCCGGTAGAAACGCAATTGAATGGATCCGGTCCCCGGAGGAATCGCGCGCCGTTATCTGGTGTAGAGAAAGCGATGTGCTGCGATGCTTTTACGATCATTCCGAGTGCGACTGATGGCTGCCATGAAACCAGACCCATGATCCTTTGGAATAGCGTATTAAGAAACCGACTTTTTCATCGACTTTGCACGCGTTCGTGTAATTGGGCGCAATTATACGCACGTTCTGTCGTATATACACACATATATATATATATATATATATATATATATATATATATATATATACTCGCGTAAAATTTCACTTACACGCGAAAGTACACGGGACGGTAAGCTGTTCAAATTAAGCTGCTTTGCCGGCGGATAACTGGATTTAAGGGAAATTACGTGTGGGGCGTTGTCCGTTAAAGTTTCTACGATTATACGACGAGGAAAAAGAATTACGGCGCAAGAGCGAAACGTTACGAAGCGTAATATTAATTTCCCCTCCCCCTTTTCCAGCCATTCCTCGCAGCGCGGAGGTGATATTAAATATCCACCGACACGGTGGACCTCTCTCCAGGAGGAGAGCGCGTCGTTTAAATAACCGTTCGATGACTGAAATAATATCTTATTCTTAGTATGCAGGTCAGCCGGTTCCTTTCAATTATTATTATCGACGCTGCAACCGTGTGACCTGGCGGCCTGGTTCGACCGAAAGGATTTCGATACTTACATTTCGCGTATATACGCTTCGCAGATACGTTACGGCGGCAGGGGCGTGGTTTTTCATTTCTTGTCTTTTTTTTTCCCCCAAATTCTCTTCCTCTGTCAAACAGCAGTAACGTCGTTCCACGCGCTGTTTGATAATATCGATGAGAGATCTCGCGTGGCAATCTGCGGCGAGTCGAAACAGAGAGATTTCGCTGCCGAGCGTATTTCACAACGAAATATGCAGATTCGCGTGGAGATACACAGGATGGGAGTCACAGGATGGGAAATACCATTTTGGAAATGACGCCGACGAAACTGTGTGTGTTCTTCGTACACTCCGGGGTCAGAAAGACTGGAAAGACTGGAAATAAATAATAAAATGTGACTTGGTGATCGATAGAAGGTTTCGCTTGACAGCGAAAGAGAGAAGATGGGAAAAATAACGAAATCGGATCTTTGTCTAAAAATATTTATTTTATTCTCCTAAACTTTTTTTCAAATATATACACACACACACACATATATATATACACATTATACATATACATATATATGTACATATATATATATATATACGTGTGTGTGTATATATAAACAAATTTCCCACAATATCAATAATCTGTACAAAATAATAGCTTTTTATACAGTACAGTATAAAAATACCATTTCCATACAGATAATTCTTAATTCGTCGGCCGCGAGCAAACGGCTGTGTCATCAGAACGAATAAAAAACAAGCTCCTGGCGATGATAATTTGAAAAAACGAGATCTAAATCGCTCAACGAGTACACCTACACGAGTACTACAAACATATAACATACAACAGAGTTTTCGAGTAAGCGAATGTCACGTCGCTTGCTTTCCTTTCGCGCTATGATACAGAACAGCCGTTCATCGTCGACGCGTAACAACGATATATATAATTACAATTTTCTTTTTATTCTGTCTTCTTAACAATCGTTAGAAAAGGTACTTCATTTAGGTACTTTTAGATACGACGCGGCACCCGGCTGGCTCGATTCCACGGTCGGCTCTGCTTTTCTTACTATCGTTCAGTCAATGAACAACGACTGGATAAAACCGTGGGACGATAAGATATATATTGTCAACAAAACAATTGATCTGAAATAACCAAACACGTGCACGCGAAAGATCCTTTTTCCGTGAGAGAAGCGTCAACAACAAGAGTAGACCGTCACACGCGGTGAACGCAATGAACGCATCAGAGAAACAAGCAGAGTTTCTCTTTCGAAGAGAAACGGGAGAACAGGGCGACTAACAATAAGTAGGACAGGATCGTAAGTCTAATGACGGGATAGAGATAGAATTTCTCTCCCGGGTTCGGGTTTCTACCCGCGTTGAAAAGAATCGGTGCCTTCTTTGGCGCGGATTCTCTTCGATCCGAGAAGAATACCCAGAAATACAGGAAGAGTAAGTTGGACTGCCGCGATGAAAGGAACAGAAGCGGGAAAGAGAAAAGAAATGAGAAGGGGCGGGGGGAAGAAAAAGAAGAAGAAAGAAAAAAAAAGAGAAAATGGCAGAGAGCCCGATGTTCCTGACTCTTCGTGTTTCTCTTTCTGTCTTTCTTGCACGGTTAGTTGACCACTTTCTCCCGTTTCAGAGAGCCAAGCTCTTCCAGCATCGCTTGTAGCCCTTCGGGAACTCGTCCGGCGTCCAATTCCTGTCCCCACTGCCGATACTGAAAGGAAAATAACGGATAGCGGTTACACGAGCTTTCAGCTGACACGCGATCGAACGTCGTTTCTTATACTCAAACAAGTCCTCGGGAACTTTAAGGGAGCTTGGTGAAAAGGTTCGAGGATGGATAGACGATGATGTGTGCGGGAAAGGCTCGCTCTTTCTCTCTCTCTCTCTCTTTCTCTCTCTTTCTCTTCTTCGATTCGCTCGACAAATCGTTCTTCTATGGCGGATCTGACGTACGTGCGGGATAAACGCAGAGGTAAGGATCTTTCTCTATACAACTGCAAGAGAAAAGGCTTAAAACGTGAAAAGCTTACGGCGGTCGTTGTTGTTCCACCTAATCGATGATCACACATTTTTAAGCGTACGTACCTTTAAAGAGCTCTTTTATCGGACTTGATTCGTTCGTACTCGATCGTGAGAATCAAACAAGCGAATCTTCACGTTAGTCACGAAGACGTTAGTTTCGCGTTTTTTTTTTCCAAGTAATAAACGTGTCGAACGGCATTAGCCATTCATACCTCGAGTAATTAACGAGGGCGAACAACTAAGAGAGATCATTACGGGAAACGAAAGATTGCGGGATTTTCCAATGCTTGCACCGATCTAACGTCGTCGTCTAGGTATAGCAGAACTAATTCTGGAAACTTCGGGACTCCCATTATTCCGCCGAAAAAAAAAAGAAAGAGAACGTAAGAGACAAAGAAAGTAGAAAGCCGACATGTTTATGGTTCTTCGGTAAAACTTTGCGTCCTCCTCCTCCTCCTCCTCCTCCTCCTCTCCTTCTTCTTCTTCTTCTTCTTCTTCTTCTTCTTCTTCGTCTTCTTGTCTTGCCCGAGGAATTTACGATATTAACGCACGCGGAAAATACAAACGCAACGCTCCGCGGCGGTTCTGTGACAGCTGTAACTCTTTGCCGAACGAAAGTTGGATGAAACGACCCGGCGATTGCATAATCGGGAACACGTACGACTTTGAAAACATCCACGGCGTGACGCGGCTCGCCGGAATAATGGGTGTATAACTCACTTGGCAAACCGCGAGGAGAAGACTCCTTCCTCGCGGCGAAAAGGATTTATTATCGCGCGGCTGCGTAAGAAACGGCCACGGGATATCGCGGAGGAAATATGATGAGGGGAACGGGATCGAGTCGGGTGGAATAAGACGATAGAGGATAAGAGGCAGACGTTTTCACACGGCGGGACTTACCATTTCCAGCTCTCTTCGAAGTGCCAGCACAGCCTTCTCGCGATCGGCCACCAGTTCCTCAAGATATTGATACCTTAGCTTCTTTCGAGCACGACACTCCCTCGCACTCTGTCGACTTCGTTCTGGAAAAATGAGAGCAAACCCGTGAAAACCTGAGACGCTCGCGTCGATATAACTCGCAAGATCTCGTAAAGTCCAATCGCGTGCTTCGTAACTTTTTCGCTGCTCTCTTCCGCAAGTTCGCTACCATCTGACACACGCGCACACACACACACACACACACACGGTCACGATCGTACTTTTCTTGTTAGCAGGTGAAAAAAATTGTTTCTTTATTAGTTGTAAATATTTAAGTTTATCGCGTGCAGCGTAAGTGTATACGCAACGTCTACGAATACTATATTTCTTTCGAGTTCAACATCAACTTCGTCACATAGTCACGGCTATGCATTTTTCGTTAGCATGTGGAAAAAAAAAAGATCACTTATGAATTATTTAAGTTTCAATTTCATTCGTCGTACGTTCGTAAAATCTAACGCGAGAAACTATTCTACGAATACTAGATATTTTTATTTAGGTCTGACAAGTTTCATCATTCCAGTTTCAGTTAATGTATCTGCAATATCTAACGCGACAAAGGGTTAAGACTGAAATTTCACAGATTTCACTTTGCGAACGAACGCGAGAGAACGATACAACGTAAAGAAATATCGAGTCTCTGTACCTGAACAATTTTATGCCAATTTTCTTCAGAAACCTTTACCCGAGATTCTTTCACGACTGAGAAAGCATTCTTAAGAAGCGATCGAAGAGACGATTACGAGAAGGAAAGCCAAACAAGCGACGACCGACGTTCCTTTGGTAAATTTTTCACGCGAGATCGGATCCAACGAGCAGGGATACGACCGCGTTTAATAATTCAAAATAGATCTGCCACGTGAAGTCTGCCATCCGCGAGATAAGCGAAACAGAATCGTAATCGCGGTAGAGGCGAGATATATACTTTTGAAGGTAGGATGATGCTTTTCCCGAGCGCGAGTTCGACAGACGTAAGAGACACACAATGGGGGAGCCTCGAGAAGAAACTCGGGGCTTAATGAGACCCAGAAACGCGTTAAAGTTAATACGAGGATCAGCGTTTGTATTTGACGCCGCAGTAACTAGCAACGCGATACTTTCTTTTCGCATACTTAAATCTGGGTATAATACTCATGCGCGACGAAGTACAAGAATAGCGCAAGAATCACGTGGAATTGAACAAAAAAGCGAGATTTCGAGTCGCAGTTTTTACAACACGTTTTCGAAACTTAACACGCTGAATGCTATAGTGTGATTAGTAGAAACACATAATTCGAGTAAATGTTAATACTTGGAAATTTTTTATTATTAGCTTACTACGATGGTATAACTAAGTTAATATAGTATGGAGCATATATAAAAATAATTTTAATTATGCATGTAATAATATGTATATTTAATTATGTACAATGTGTATAAATATTATTCACGCATATACATATATCGCGATGTATCGTATTAAAGTACCGCAAACAAAGAAAAGGTGAATCGGTAGTCTTCACAATATGCAAAATTGTTTGCTTTTAATCTAATTGTTTCAAATTCTTTTCATAACATGTTCTATAAAATCGTCGGCCGATGCTGGATTTTCAATTCATGACGTAGTTTTCTCTGTGTGAAATAATATCGTAAAAAATAAGTGAAAATCGAAGAGACACATTTCACCGATGACCCATTAAACACAGTTATATATCTCGACTCATCTGTTGCAGATAACATCTATCGTATAATAACTGATTCATGTTAGTGCCCCTAGGTGTCTGTGGCATTCAACGTGTTAAAGATAGGAATTAACAGAATTCCACCATATCGTAACACCGCGTGGAATTGAGAGGGGTTAAAGTCCCGCCTGGGAGCATGGAAATCGTCGAAGAAAGAAAAGATAAGAAAGAAAGGACTCGAGAACACCGCGAAACGTCAGCTGCTCGAATCGAAAACAGGGAAGTTTTCCCCTATTCGGATCTGGCTCCGCATACAAATGCAAAGGGGGATGCTCTGTGCGAGCAACGCTGGATTCGAATAGGTTCCCTGCTTAACCCCCGTCGTCCCTCCGTGCAACTGCACGGAGCAGCAATACCACGTCCGTGGCCGACAATAAAATCGGCAACTAAATAGTTGCCAGCTCTATCCAAACCAAAACGCGAAATTTAAACCACGTAGCAAACAACCGTGCGCGGATCGTTTGGTGGAAAGTGGAACGAGCGCTCATAAATATTCACCTGTGTTCTCCTATAAATTGTCGCGGCAAAAATTACAAACGAAGGTGAAGGACGCGCGCGTAACCATCGCGCGATAAATTCGCGTAACTGAAATTTGACGCGCGATTTTTCACGAATGCTCGCGATACGTGCAACTATACTCTATACAGAGTATAAGTATGGATGATATATATTTCTATGCACAACTATTGAAACACTTGCTCGTCATGTGCAAAAAAAATCCGATAGCTGATTAAGATTGTTATAGGGAAATGATTCGTTGCAAGTTCGTACACATTAACCTCTTGCGTTGGTAACTGGTTGACGGACCATAACGAGTGACCAAACCGTATACGATAATTCGTCTTCTTTTTGAATTCATCGGTATATCACTGGATAGAAATTACTGAGAAATAACGAATTTATTATTTGTTTTGCCTGGATTGTATTTCAATATAATTGAAACTTAGAAAATATTGCAATTTTGGGACAAAAAATTCTTCACGTTCGCATTCAAGAGGTTAACCACTTGCGCCTTGCAACTGATTGCGGACCGTAACGAGTGACCAAACCATATACAACAATTCGTCGCTTTCCTTTCGTACTCGTCGGTACGATATCACTGGATAGAAATTATTGAGAAGTAATAAATTTATTATTCGTTTGTCTATTATTTATTATACTTAAAACTATTGAGAAAATATTGCAATTTTGGAACAAAAAATTCTCGACGTGCGTGGCACGTCATTCCAGCGCAATAGGCTAAGAATATAAAAAAACCAAATTTGACTTTTTCCTAGGACGTTATATTTAACCACTTGCGCTGGCAACTGATTGCGGACCATAACGAGTGACCGAACAGTATACAATAAATCGTCGCTTTCTTTTTCTTTTGAACTCGTCGGTATGACATCACTGGATAGAAATTATTGAGAAGTAATAAATTTATTATTTGTTTTGCCTATTTTAGTTTTGTTTTACTTGAATGTACTTAAAACTGAGGAAATATTGCAATTTTGGGACAAAAAATTCTCCACGTGCGTGGCGTAAGAGATTAATCGCCAAGTACCGGAATATTCGAATGCCGGATGGTAAAACGTTGAGATATACAATTTTGCGTCGTATAAAAACGGAACCTGACACCGGATTCGGTGTACTCAAACCCACGAGACAGCAGGTACGGGCCTGACAGACGAAAACGACGCGATGACGTCGTCGTCGCGGTCTGATGGCGCAGCGTTTCCGCGGTACGTCGCGGGCATTCGCGAGAAAGACGGAGCACCGCATAAAATCGATCGTAATAGTCCCCCCTCCTATTGCAGGATATTGCAAATTTCTTACGGTGATCGCGATGTAATAAAGCTCTTTACGATCAAGGGTCGCGGCTATTATCGCGTTATCTACGGCTCACTAAGCCCGCCTTTTACGCGGCAATAAACGTCCTCCTGTTCAACCCTTGTGTCATCGCTTTCCGTTTCTTTTTCAAAAAGGAGAAGAACTTGGCCGTTTCAGACGACGGCGAAACCCTCGAAGGAGTCGGATCGTGGTAGAATTACATCGAAAAGGGATTTTCGTCGCGAGGGGTTGACGCGCGGCCGATGCAACCGTGTCGCGATCGATTCGACCTCGGCGCGGAAATTACGCGTCCTCGGTCACGCTGCAACCAATTTGCAGCCCCATTTGAGACCGAGTAGCCGAGGTATCTGGATCTCGAAATCGAATCTACCTGAGTTTAAGCAAGCTCCGACATCGAGGCATCAACTTAGAGAAAACAACCGATCGGAAAGCGCGCGTGAATGAAATTAAGGAAAATTGGACTTGCAGAGACTCGGAAGACTCGACGAAACTGACGACTTGACGTACAATTCGATGTTCGAACACCGGCGTTCGATTCAAGGGAAAAGGTCAGGCGAGCTCGGATACGAAAATACGAGAGAGAAAAACGAATGGATTCGATCATCGACAGAGCCGGTAGGAGGATTGCGGATCCTCCATCCGTGGATGTTGTTCGTAAAACGAGTTCGAATTCGTGTTTCCTCTTTCCAAACTTTGGGAGAACTAGTTCTCGAACGCACGCAGAAGCGGAAGTTGCGGGAACGAAAGAGAAGAGGAACGTTAGAGATCTACCAGGGAGGGAGGAGAAAAATTGTTTCTCTCTCGCGTGATTTCCTCGCGAGTTCGTAGGTGAACGTGTATTTATAAGAAGTCTGTCCGATCCGCGCGCACGCGCAAATAAAAAAAAAAAAAAGCAAAGAACAATGATGAAAAGCTGGCAGGATCAGAAAAAGAAGAAGAAGAAGAAGAAGAAGAAGATAGAAAAGAAAGGGAAGAGAAAGAGGAGCGAAGATTCTGCAACATCGCCTCGAGAGCTTTTCTCGCCGATGTCTTCGCCGGAACACCTCCTGGCAAAACGGCGGAATTGCAAAACACACCTTTCCATCTCGTCTCGTCGTGTCGCGCAGAATCATCGGGAACATCGGTTCTGGGCGACCGAGTTGACCCAGCATAAATATTCATTCGTTCGGCAGGGATAAATATTCGTACGGTGTCGCGGATTTCGGTCTCGGGGAAACCCGTCGCCCGACGCTTCGTAATCAAGCAGCGTGGATTTCTCACGTGGCTTGCGCAACGCCGAGCGGGGGTTGCGTCTTGTTTCCCTCCCTTTCCTGCTTGATACACCACCACCGCGGAGATGCAAATCGAGGTTAACTCAGCTTCTTAAGGGTGGCATGCAAATATGGTTAGCCATCGGCCATGAAAGAAAAACGATTCGCCGGTGGGAGAACGACCTTTTGGAAATAAACGGGAGGAAGGACAACGACGTTCTTGATTTACATGGACGTCGTATCGTTGAGAAAATTCACGTCGTATCGTTGGATAGCCGAGAGCGTAAAGGAGAGGAATCCTCTTATCTTATAAAATTTTTCCAACGAGTTTCTCCAACGTGTTTGGCTATCTTTCTCTATCTTTCGGCGCGTATCCTCTCGATAGCGCAAAGACAACAATTTCGTCACGTTCCTGTAATTTGCGCGTTGCACTACTGAAAATTTCTCCACGACGACGACGACGACGACTGTTCGACTCGTTCTTTTGCGACTGCAGTCGCTTCGGATGAAAACTGATTGTGAGTGGTGAAGGCGATTGACTATATGTGTGTGTGTGTGTGTGTGTGTACGTTTGAATAACACGGGTGGTAGTAGGTTGAGAAGCTTCTTACCGAGCTTTGCTTTCATGTCCGTCTTGTCGGACGCCTTCCTTCCAGGCTTACGTCCCCTCTTACCCCCCTCTTTCCGATCACCGCGAGATCCCTCCTGAAACGAGAAAAATGTCACGTAAATTAATAAGCCACGGGAAGAGGTCTCGCGATTTCTCTTTACCAGTTGTCAGGAGACAAGTCGGACAAATTGCAAGATTTCCGCGAATGTCCGAAAGTTTTGTAAAGTTTATACGAAAAAATCGTTTTGATGTTTTGAAATTATATACGGATGAAAACGCGTTCCAGCTTTGCGCGTAAAACGTTTACAGCCAGATTCAACAATTACACGGCGCGGCGAGAATCGCACACGCGTAATAGAATAAACAGGCAGCGTATACAGCGCCGGTAGTAAAAAAAAAAAAAAAAGGAAAGAAAAACTTTTGTACAGCGTTCTAGCGGTCGTCGACTGAAATCGTAACGTCAGAACATGACGGCGACGAAACGGGTAGGAACGAGATCTGAAAGCGGATGCGACGAGTCTCTGCAGCGACGTAATACCCGCTTGATCCGTTGTTTCTTCCTGCCACTGATTAATATCTCAAACGAGTTGGTTCGAGCTCGCGGAGAACAACGTCCACCATTTTCAATGGAAACAAAAGCTTATTGAAGAGCGAGAGAGAGAGAGAAAGAGAGAGAGAGGACCGCTAAAAGCTCAGCACGAAGCTTCCATGGACATAACCCTCAGCGCGCCTCGTCCATTTACGGGACACCATTTTGACGAATTTTCGCGCCAAGATAACTCGCGTCCCAAATAACGGAGTTGCGAGAAAAAGCCAGACGATACTCTCCCTTCTTCCTGATCGTTATCCGCTTAAAACTTTCTAACGCTTCTACAATCGTTACCTGCCCCATTTTTTTCGATGAAAACTCGATGGTCCACGAACCAGCTTGGGGAAGGAACTACCCTGTCTGGAAGTATCGCGATCCCAGCACCGGAGACGCGAGTCGAAAAGACGATCCGCTGCCTCGTTCGAGAGATAAAGAAGACACATACGGGCAAGTATAACGCACGCAAAGACTCCCCGATCCACCGGGTCCCGCGAACCGTTAAAATTTACACGTCCCCGGAGCACGGTTGTTGCTCGACGACGACGACGACGAGAGAGGACGTCGCAGAGAGGCGGCCGCGGGCTTAGCTATGCATGCGCTCACGGGTGACAAAATACAAATTCAGTCCCCCTTTTTAGGGAAGACGTTTACCTTCGGCCCTATCCTTTCCTCTCAATCCTATCTGGTATTAAATCTCCTCGAATCCTCTTTCTTCCCCTCGGCCGCTTCCGACTTCTTTCGCTCGTCCCCTTGCTCGCGTCTGTCCTCTGTCTGCCTCTCGTTCCGAGGGGCTATCCACCCCTTTCCCTTTCCCTTTTCCCTTTTTTCCTCTTTCACCCTTCAGCCACGGTCTCGTGACTCTTCTCGCGCGGCGGTCTTTGTAGGCAGAAAATGGAATTGATGTTCCGTGATGAGCGGCGAGATACAGGAAACGAGGGAGGAAAGAGCGCTTGGCGTAAGGATTCCGACGGTCAGTGGGCGTGTATATCAGGTTCGCGGGATACTACTATCTCCATTGTACGTTTCTCTATGCTCGAGCCTTCTCCCGAGCTATTCACAGGAATATAATTAACCTGTGCGGGCGGAACGATGAATCGCAACGATGATCAAAGAGAAAGAACGATATTCCCAGCGTGTATGGTTGTGGTTGTTGTTGCTACCCCCGTCGTACTATGTATTTCGTTGGGCGACATACGTCGTACATCGTACGCTATACCGGAAGGGTAGGAAAACTCGTTAAACCCCTCCACTGTCAGTGACACTTCCGTCGATTTCCTGCACGCCCCTATCGCGAATGTCGCGCTACCTACACTCAGATCGACCCTGCGCCTGACAATCCCACTCGGATTTCTGACGTGTATCCGATCGTCGAGTAGAACGATTCGCCCGCTTCCGGAACACCCCCGGTCATCAACCTTTCAAATCTCCAGTCGATTTCAAGCCCGGTGTTTCCACGTGCTTGACACTTTTACTGTCCAACTATCGCGTATTTATTTTTAATCCCTTCTCCGAGAGGGTACGGCGCCAGAGAAACAACGGAACGACGCGAAATTGCATCGAGCTCGGTATGTACACCCCCCTCCAAAAGTATTGGGACACTTGCAGAAAATGAAATGAATTTGGAAAATAAAACCATTAGGGAATTGTTATAATTTCTTAAATGCATTTCAAAGTTTAGGTTACATCAAGCTGGAAAAGGTATACATAGTTTACATTACAGCAACAATAACATTAATTTTGCACAAGAAAGTTAAATTTTCTTTTCGTCGATACGTCCATCGCGTTTTTTCATTATTTGTTCGACCAATTTCGGCATCCGTTTTACTAGTTTTCCTATTGCTTTTCTAGTACTATTCTTTTCGTTCCATGGATTTCGTAGTTTGTTCCACAAGTCATTGTGGGACTTTGGACGCACTTCACGGATTTTCCCGAATCTTCTCTATATTGGGTTCAGATCAGGGGGCCACAATGCATTATTTCTGATTCATCACTCTATTGCAAATAGTCTTTACAAATCCTTGCGGTGTGCTTGGGATCGTTGTCGTGCATGAAAATAAAATTTTGGCCTATTAATCGTGCCTCTCAGATGGTATGGCACCATCACTTAAAATAGACAAATATCGTTCTTTTCTCCAGAATCCCTTCGATTTTTATTAAAATCATCAACACTATTTGCTCCAGTACATTCCCAGACCATTATTTACCTCCCTCCGTGTTTAATTGTGGGTACGATACAGTCAGGAATCATTTTTTTCTTCAGATCTTCTAAAAACATAAGCTCGAAGATCCGTTGGTCCATAAAACATTTTTCCACTCTTCAACTGACCAATTCCGATATTTTTTAGCCAGCTCTAGTCTTTTTACTTTACTTTGTGATTTTAATAATAGTTTTTTTATAGCTACGCATCCACGAAGACCAACCTTGTGTAAGCGTCTCCTCATTTATACCAAATACTAAATAAACAGGTGTCCTTATACTTTTGGAGGGGAGTGTATGTACGTACATACATCATCGACCCACTTCCTCGTTTCTACCATGATCAAAGTCAATCAAGATTCTCTGATATTTCCGAACACGCGCGATCAACAACAATAAGCTGTCGCGACAATTACGAGCGACAGCTTGGACGAACGAATTGCCCGATAACGAAGACACTCGTTCCCTTAATCCTTAAGGGAGAACAGTCCCATCGTGACGAAACGAAGATCAATCAAATTTCTCCCTTCTTCCGGAACGTTCCAGTCCGAGCATTCCAATCGCGAATGAGAGGAAAGACAAACGAATCGGGAGAGAAAAATATTGCAACTCGCAACGCGACGGATTCTTTCTTTTTCTCTCTGTACTTTGAAGATTACGCTTTGAAGATTCGCGAAGGTTACAGACGAGAGGAGACGGAGTATAGCCGGATGCTACCGATAGTAAGCGGCAGCACGGTAGAGACCGGAAGCTAGTAAACCACACTGTACACAGAGTCGGAGGGAAGGGGCGGGGGCCTTTGTAGTTTCGCAGTTTGTCGGCCGATTCCCTCTTACGCGTATTTCTCGAGCGCAAAGGCCGGGTTACGCGGCTCGCTCGCTCCGTGCCAAGGCTCCTCGTTCCGCGTGAAGCGTGATTTAATCTAGCGACATGAACGCACGACTCGTTGCTATGGCACGTACATACACTAGATACACCGTTTAGTTTGTACGTATAACGTGGTACCGAGCGATCGGTGCGTGGCCAGTAGTCGTGTCAAAGGCGACCATACTCGCGCCTGCAAGAACGTGTCGGAGAGCCGCCGACCGACTCGTGTTTAGATCAACTATGTTAGATCGTGTTTACGATCTAAGAGGGGGAAAAAAAAAATGAGAGAGAAGAAAATCGAAGCGAGAAATTTTTTAAATTTAGTACATCAATATGATAATAATATATAATTTATTAATATCGATAATATATACTAATAAATCAATGTATAATATATTAATATATCAATGATAATATTAATAAATTGTAATAATTTATAATTTATTAATATCATGGGATATTCTACCTATTGTAGAATGTGTGTTGATTATGCGAAATGACCGTGACACATGCTAATCGAATAATCGTCACAGCGAGATGTCGTTCGTTTGAAATTACTTTGCTGATTTCTACTACCGTGTTTCACAATCCGTCTTGCCATCGTCCTCGAGTTTTTTCGTTAATCGACACCTCCGACAATCGACCGTTCCATTAATCGGTATTCCGCGTGTGACAATCGAGGCACCACTGGGCCCAAATCACGCCTGCCGTTATTACAAGATTACGTAACTGGCGTTAATCTCGTGAATCGATCTCATCAACGGCGAACTTGGGAGAATTAATATGAAAAGCAACTGCTCTCTCGTCGCCCCTCAACAGTGAATTCGCCCGCAAATTCCGATTCGCACGAAGACCAAGTCAAGAAACATAAACGATCCTCGGGAATCCAGGTCGAACGTCATGGACATTGTCCTGCCGTTCAAACGTCTCCGAAAGAATAAAAATTCCTTCGAGTTGCTCGGTGAATTTCTATGCGCGCTAATGAAGTATTTGCACATCGCGTCGCCGACACACTCTCTCTCCCTCTCTCTCTCTCTCTCTCTCTCGTTTGATCTAATTCGCTCTACGCTGGAACCTTTCAGCTCTGCTTAAATTTCTCCTCTCGTTACACGCGCGGAATTCTTCCAGACGACTGGAATAGAGAAGAGAAGAGAAGAGAAGAGAAGAGAAGAGAAGAGAAGAGAAGAGAAGAGAAGAGAAGAGAAGAGAAGAGAAGAGAANGAAAAAAAGAAGAGTCGACCCAAAATAGAAATTAAAAACGAAGGCTTTTTGCTTCGAGCGCATTCGCGATTAATTCGAAACCGCGGAACGCAAACCTAGTTTTCGCTTCGAGCGTGTACGCTTCCGTTCCTTGTACTTGGCGGAACAACTTCCGGGCGACCACCTCACTCTAGTAGAAAGTCTTTAATTACAAAGGATACGGGAAACGTTCTTGGCCCGTC